ACAACATTTAAATTATTAAATTCTATAACTATTGCATGTAGATTAATTAAAACTCTTAACCGGCACATATGAACACTATAATTCAAACATTTTTAAATAAAAAAATACACAATTTACCAACATATAAGAATAAAAGAGGCTAAGCTCACCCAGCCCAGTAACTATATATATATATATATATATATATATATATATATACTGGTTACAGCTGAAAACATCGCGGACGAAAACGTCGCGGAGAAAACACCGCAAGGCGAAAACGTCGTGCTACAAAACATCGTGGGAGGAAACATCGCAAAGAAAAAAACATCGTGGTACAAAATATCGTCATCGAAAATAAAGCGGTTCAAAAACTTCGCAGTTTAAAAAAACATCGTCGTCGAAAATATCTTGGTAAAAAAATAAAGTATCTACAAATCATCGCATGACGATAATATCGCAGACATGCTTTTTTCAGGCTTTAATAGTAATTGTAAATGGATATTCCTATAACGATTGAGCGCAAGATGGAAAGAAGGATAATTTTTACTTTCATATTTTTTATTAACTAGTACATTTTTGCTGATAAAGTAAGAAGGAAACTTAAGCATAGAAAAGTAATGCAACCTATAGCACTTAACAGAATTTTAAACCGACATAGTTAACTAACAAAGGTCATTAATAAATTACTTAAGCTTTTACTAGTAATTTTTCATGAAAAGTATAATCTAAAAAAAGCCTGAAAAAAAATAAAGCATGTCTGCGATGTTATCGTCATGCGATGATTTGTAGATACTTTATTTTTTACCACGATTTTTTCGAAGACGATGTTTTCAAACTGCAAAGTTTTTGAACGGCTTTATTTTCGACGACGATATTTTGTACCACGATGTTTTAGACCTGCGATGTTTTCTTCCACGATGTTTTGTAGCACGACGTTTTCGCCTTGCGTTGTTTTCTCCGCGACGTTTTCGTCCGCGATGTTTTCAGCTGTAACCAGTATATATATATATATATATATAGTTACTGGGCTGGGTGAGCTTAGCCTCTTTTATTCTTATATGTTGGTAAATTGTGTATTTTTTTATTTAAAAATGTTTGAATTATAGTGTTCATATGTGCCGGTTAAGAGTTTTAAGTAATCTACATGCAATAGTTATAGAATTTAATAATTTAAATGTTGTTTAAGTGCGGCTAAGCTTAACTTAACAACCATATTTGTTTACATTTGAAACTTAGCAGAAGAGTGAATTAAGTCAGCTTCTTCACCTTGAGAGTCCAGCCGAGTGGGATCAAAAAGTAAACTCTGAGTTTTGGGCCCTGAAGAATTCGCCTTTTTTACGCTGGCCGAATTGCTTGTTTTTGTGTAGAAACTGTAATTTTGTTTCTAAAAAAAATTATTTTAATTGTTTTTAACTGTATTTGGTGTTTTATGTTTTTCTGTATGTTTCAATTTTTAATGAAGATATTTTGAAGTTTTATATATTTTTATCTTGCAGAGAAGACACTGAATCAGTTGAATGAGAAAATACAGCTCTAATGAAATTCTAGGAAATAAATTTAAATGAAATGCAGGAAAAATGCATATATTGGGTCAGTCCATAAATTCGTGCGCATTTTTTGGTAAATTTTAAAATAATATTTGCAAACAAAATTTAACATTTTAATCAATTATATAGTTCTCTCCATTATCTACAATGTCTTGCCATCTTACAGGCAGCTTTTTTATGCCTTTGTTGTAAAAGGACTCTAGTTTTAATGCAAGAAAACTTGAAAGTTCATTGTGTACATCCTCTTTAGAATTTAATTTTTTCCCAGTAAAAAAAAATTTATAAGGCACGAAATAAGTCAAAATCACTCGGGGCAATATCTGGGGAGTAAGCAGGATGTGGCAAAAGCTCCCAATTAAATTCACTTATTTTTGCTGCGTTGTTCGAGCCGTATGCGGCCTAGCGTTATCACGATGAAACAACACTTTCTTGATATTCACCCATCGTGGACGTTTTATGATCCATTCTAATTTTAGACGGCAAAGTTATTTTTGGAAATATTTGCCTGTGTGTAATTTTAGTAGCACTATGTACTATTTCTATTTTGTTTATTTTGGGCATTTATATAATAATTTTTATGTAATGATCATTTAATAATTTTGTTGTGCATTTTTAATTGAATTCGATTAACATTTGGTTTCTAAAGGTACCTCAGTTAGAACCTAAGATATAGACATAAAAAAAAAAAAAAAAAAAAAAAAAAAAAAACTTCCCGACAATTTTTCAGTCAAAACCGCCATCGCCAAGTTGGTGATATTTGATGATTTCTCTCCATCTTGGCGACGTTTTGAAAGTTTATAAAAAAACTATTTTTTTGGAAGACCTAGTGTTGATATTTTAGAAGTTTCCCTGAAACGCTTACCCTCCCCCTTTGAACAATTCTACGAACAGAACACCGTGAGGTACTGAGAATTAGTTTTCAAGGAATTTCCATCATGCCTTCGTGTGGGATCTCATGGTATAAGAGGCAGAAGATCCTTGGCTCTAATTCTGGCAAGGACCCAAACCAGCGTCCGAGGGCTAAAGTCGTTGGACACTGGTAGTTCGGTCCAGGATTTGAATCCCACTAACGGACTGGCTGCATGGGCGTGTTCGTAGAGTTTCCCATGTGTAACGCGTATACGAGCCAGTTTCCCTTAGAAAGTCCTCCACGAAGGCATCTCTTTCTTTAAGCAGATAGCTCTCGAGGCTTTGCTGTAATCACATAAAACCAAACCAAACCAATTCTGGCAAGGTCATAGCTGAATTTTCCCATTTCTTGTTTCGGAAAACCTCTAGAAGTTTACTTATTCCCTGCAAAGCTATGCGATTGTATTGAACTTGCTATGCGAGTGATTTCAGGAATTTATATGTTATCTGAGTGTTGAGGAAAATTTTGCCTTATACCTGATTTTCTGTCTTTGGATTATTTATAGTTGTTTATCTTTCCTCAGAACTGTTATTTATTTCAATGAAATCTCCATTTCTTCCTCTTCACTTGGTACAGTTGTTACCGTGAAAGACCGACATTGGAGAATGTCGACTTTCACCGGAGAAGAAATGTCAACATTCACCAAATACGTCGGTGAAAGATCGAATATTGCACTACATTCTTGTGTTTTCGGACCCTCAACGGTGTATGTCGACGATCACAGATATGCTCTGGTGAAAGTCGAAAAGAGAGGTTATAAAGTGCCATAATAGTTTAAGGTGTTGCAATAAATGAGATTTGAATCACATAATTTAGTAAGTTTTTTATTACTGTTATTTTATTTTCTCATTGAGAACGTACTGTATAATTAAGTTGTTAACTTCTATTATTTTCCTTTCTCATTTTGAATGTATTGTGTGTGTTAGGTTCTCATGTTCTTAAGTTCTTATTTCACGTTTCAAGTGCGTTTATTCGCGACTGAATGACGGAGAAGAAAATAGAAAATATATATTGTTATATGTTCAACGTTCACCATTAGTACATGGTGAATGTCGACATTCACCGGTGTAAGTGTAAGTCAGAAATAAGAGTATTTGGAAAATATTTCGGACATACACCAAGAGACTATGTGAATGTTGACATTCACCGGTGAAAGTCGACATTCTCAAGATTTCGGTGTTTCACCGTAACATAGTTATCAAGGAGATCTGTACGAAACCTTAGCATACAACAATAGTTAGTTTTTAAACTAACTTTCCTGATTAATAGAGAAGAATTAAACTTCATTAACACAACTCCAACACATAACGAGATTCAGAGAGTCCTTCTAAGTCAATTTTCCTTCAAGTTCAAGAAGTTTCTTAATTTATTTTTTTCTTAAATGGTCTTTTTTTTTTCCCCTTGAATAGACGACCCGTGCTGTATTTAATCCCGCCAAGAGAAAAGGGAAGTAGAAAGGGGGGAAGATAAAAGTCGATAATGGGGATCTCTAAATTCCTGGAATGATTTTACTCATTTAGAGGTGCGCTAATGCAAAGATATTCAGACACGCTTTACATCAGAAAGCACGTGAGGTCCGTGGGATTATTTTTGATGGCACCCTCCCACGTGGATGCATGTGAAAATTAGATTACGCCATTATTATCGCTCCTGTGAGTCTATGTCTTCTTGACTGGAGCCATTGTAAGAGAAGTGCATTTTCGAACGCAGCTGCGGTGTTAGTCAACTAAGCACACAAAGTAAATTTATCATTTTTTTTTTTTTAGGGTTGGTTAATTTATTCTCGTTAGCAGACGGAAATTTCGCATGGTTTAATCTCAGCCTCATCTGCCATTTATTGAAGATATGTTCTCTTCATGTCTGCTTTCATATCTAGTTTTAGTTTCGGTTATGTTATAAGGTATTTCTCCCGCCTTCCTAGCGTGCCTTCGTGGTGTAGTGGTTCTGCACGCTGGGCCGGTGTTTCAGAGGTCCGTGGTTCGATTCCCGGCGAAGGCGGTTGCTAATTTTTCATCTGTTTTGCTTCCAAAAAATCCTAATGTCTCTACAAGGTGCTACTGAATTGCCATTGAAACATTCAATCCGCAAAAAACTGCACATTTTACATAGGTAAAAATACAGCAAAGTGGTCTTTTAAATGTATTAAACGTGAAGTTACTTTTGATAGTGAGTTTATAAGGTATTTCTCCCGCCTTACTAACGTGCCTTCGTAACGAAGATATTGAAAATATAAGACATAAATACCAGAAATATAATACAGTGCTGTATATCTACTTTTTTCCATAAGATTTCTTTTTCAATATGATATTTTCTTTTATATAAATTTCTTTATTTCATAAACACATTATAGAATGTTTAAACAAAATATGTATCACTCGATAGCTTTATGTCATCGATAGACGTCTGATCAACTGCAGATTTTTAGTAAGAAAATTTTAGAAGAGACTTTTTTTGTGTTAAAGTACTGCGTCCTAATCTTCCGCCTTGATTAATGGACAATTGCTTAGGCGCTAGAAACTAATGTAGTCGTAACGTCGGAAGCTTCGGAGATGTATACATACTTGTTCATAGAATTCTTCTGCTATCCTGTAAGTCCACTGAACATGGATGTCGTGCCTCTTGCAAGGACCGTTGATGTCTGCTAACTTGATACACATTTCCATCGCCAGAAGTCTGTCTGTCTCAGACATCCAGTCTAAGCCTGGAGCATCATCTTCGTTCGCCTGAAAGCATAGACAGATTAAGCATAATGTAGGGGAATAAAAAATGCTAGGTATTTAGAGAATGTCATAACAACAGCATTTTTCCAGAGCACAACTTAGTCATTCCTAACTTCATAAATTCATACATAATCCTAACTTCTTCGATGAATTATATATTTCAGTTTTACAGAATGCAATACTACGAAATGGTAATTTACTAAATAAAAAAAAAAAAAAAATGAATGTTTTCAGATTTTATATTACGCTCAAGGGTTTTTTTTTAACGTTGTGTGTGTTACCTTTGTTTATTAAATATCATGTTCTTCGCACTTTATAAGGTATTTCTCCCACTTCCCTAGCGTCCTTCGTGGCGTAGTGGTTCTGCACGCTGGGACGGTATTCCAGAGGTCCGTGGTTCGATTTCCGGCGAAAGCGTTTGCTATTTTTCATCTTGTCTGCTTTAAAAAAATACCTAACGTCTCTAAAGTGGCGCCCGAACTAAAATGGTTGTGGATGATGATTCTCCGCACCCAGGATTTGGCGACTAGGTCCCTAAAACACTAGTCGCCCTTTAAAAAGGGGAGTATATAAGGTTATTTCTCCCATTTCCCTAGCGTGCCTTCGTGGTGTAACGGTAGCACGCTGGGCCGGTATTCCAGAGGTCCGGGGTTCGATTCCCGGCGAAGGCGGTTGCATATTTTTCATCTCTCTGGCTTCCAATTAACCTAATGACTCTACAACTTGAACCATGAAATTCAATTCAACAGTCTTATCACAAAATATTCAAAAAAAAAAAAAAAAAAAAAAAAAAAAAATCTGAAATTTTTTAGATTTTAAATTACGTCCAAAGGGGCGTTTTTTTTAACGTTTTGAGTGTTACCTTTGTTTATTAAATATCATGTTCCTCGCACTTAAACCATAAGATCCAGTGCAACAGCAATATCGCAAAATAGTTTTAAAACGAGCATATCTTTAGAATTTCCGATACAGAGACTCACGCGCCGGAGATAAAAATGTTTTTCTGCACAACGTTGCCATTGCTCGCTTTGAAATCCTGGAGTTTGTTAATCAAAAATTCGTCAGTTTTAAAAAATAGGAAATCGATCATAAAACAAATTTCAAATTTCAAATTTGGTCTTCCACATGCTCAATATTCGTTGAGAGGATTACGTTATTCAAAATTCGATGGACTCTATGTACCGTTATTTTATGACAATGTGAGAAATATACATACATTTACGCAGATTTTCATTATTTAATTCTTCAAATATAAGCAGGACTCTAACATTTTATGGCAACAGTTTGAAAAGTGAACCGACATTTATCCGTCCGACGCAAAATGCGAAAACGAAACTAATAGTCCTTCGGGATTCAAATCCCTTTGGACTAAAAAGGAAATCTTTAGAATTTCTGATACACAGTGTCGCGCGCTGGAGATCAATTTTTCCCCCGTACAGTGTTGCCATTCCTCGCTTTGAAACCGTTGAGTTTCTTAATCAAAAATTCTTTAAAGGTTTACAAAATCTGAAATAGTTAATAAAACAAATTCCAAATTTGGACTTCCAGATGCCATATTCGGGTGGAGGATTACGTTATTCAAAATTGGATGATTCTAGGTACTGTCGTGTTATCACAATGAAAGAAACATACACGCATTTATGCATTTAACATTACTTAATTTCTTTAAATATAATATTGGGCTCTAACATCTGATGGCAACTATTTGAAAAATGATTACGTTTGGCGGCGTTTATAGCGATTGGACGCAAAATGCCAGAACGAAATTAATAGCCCTTCTGAAGTAACACTGTTTGGGCTAAAATGTGCAATAAATTTATAAACACTTTCAAACGTTTTAGTAATACCTCGCAATTAATATGTTCTTCGCACGGGAAAAATGACGTCCCATTTTCCTCCTACAGCAGACGTCCATGTCACAAAATTCGCCAAACGGTTATCAAGAAAATTTTGTAACGCTGATTTGGAGATTTTGATGCTCATACTTTACAGAGATTGCAGTTATTTGTTAGAGTGTTGTGCTTCTCAAACCTTTCTGGTACGAGAAATAATTTTCTTTTTCCTGTTGGTATAAGCAAAATTGTGGTATCCCCATTTACGGAAAATATATACAATAATAAACGAATAATGTAATAAACTAATAACTTGAGATCGTGAAAACGCATGCCACTATCGGCGGTTGTCAAGTTATTGCGCATAAAAACTTTGACCCTAACTCCTTAAACTTAAAATAGAAATTTAACATTAACTCTCTTTTAATTCAACAGATGGCGCTGTCTAACTTGTAGTGATGCGACGACGCATTTCAAATTAGCAAACAATTTTATCATTGCGTACAAGCTTATTTTAAAACTACAATAAGAATAAAATTTGATTCGTTTTAATGCGGTACAGCTGTGGTTGCATAATACACTATTTAAATTCAAGTTCTTTACTGTCTAAATTAAAAATCTCCAAAGTAATAGAAGCCTAATTACTTGATGGAGAAATAGTAATTTTTTATCCGCTTTCCAGTATTTTCCTGTCCTTCTGGATCAGTGTTTATAAAGTTCAGTGTTATCTTGCATAATTGAATAAAGTGAAATCCCAGCTACTTTTGGATAAAAAAATGATATAAATTTTCAGCAATACGTGTGGTTTAGTAATACTTTTAAGTTCTTCCTTTTATACTTTAATCATTTTAACACTATGATACATATTTATCGGTTCCAAGAAGTTCCAAGATGCTGCAGGAAATGTCTGAAATTTCACAAGAGCAAAGATTTTGAATATTTGAAAGCGACTCTTGGTTTACACAAATATTGCGTGCTTTGTTATAAACATTTCTACAAATTTTGAACGATCATATCTTATATTATATATCAAAATTATTCGCATTTGTTTCGTAAGGGATCTATATAAAATTAACTGAACGGTATCCCGTGACGGAGATTTTCGTAACATGTACGTATACCTTATTTGATTAAATCATAAAATTAGAATAAGTCTGTACGGCCAGTCTTTAAAAAAACACTTTTTAGTCATGCAATTTTGTTTTAAACATCTTGTATATCTTACGTTCTTTAACTTTCTCAAACATCCGCAAGAAACATCAAAATAAGTTTTGATAAAAATTTAAATCGGGGATGGCAACACTTGCAATTTCGTCAGTCATTTCTGATTTGCGTGTAATTTCTAATTCTGTAAGGAACTTTCTTCCTCTTTTCCGCATGCCTTCCTGGTGTAACAGGTTCGAGTTTCGGCGTAAGTATAGCTCATTTCTGCTTCAAAATATCCTAATGAATCTTCAGTGGCGCCCGAACTAAAAGGGGACGGGCGATAATTCGTCACTACCAGAATTTGATGATTGGGTCCTCTGTATCCTTGACTCATAGAAAACAAAAATACTCATTTGAAGTGTACCGAAAAGGTTAAGTTATTTGAATATTGGAAAGCACACAAGGGCTGTCTACCTAAAAAGGGCACTATCGTGGAAGACGTTCTAAGGAAAACTGGCTTGTATTTCTGTTACGGTGAAACACCGAACATTCACATAGTCGCTTGGTGTATGTCCGAAATATTTCCCAAATACTCTTCTTTCTGACTTACACCGGTGAATGTCGACATTCACCATGTACTAATGGTGAATGTTGAACATATAAGAATATTATATTTCCTTCTCCGTAATTCATTCGCGAAAAAACGCACTTGAGACTCAGAATAAGAACTTAAGAATATAAGAACTTAAAACACACAGTACATTCAAAATGAGAAAGGCAAATAATAGAAGTTATAAACTTACCAAATTATGTGATTCAAATCTTATTTATTGCAACAACTTAAACTATTATGGCACTTTGAATTGCACAAGAGGCCCTTTTACAACTGCATTTATTTGTGGAACACTTCCTTTTGGAATGGCAGCGTGTACATATACTCCTCTCATTTCGACCTAAACCAGAGCATATCTGTGATTGTCGACATACACCGGTGAGGGTCCGAATGTACAAGAATGTAAAGAAATATTCGATCTTTCACCGACGTATTTGGTGAATGTTCACATTCTCCGGTGAAAGTCGACATTCTCCAATTTCGATCTTTCAGGGTATCATTTACATCTGATAGAGAAAGCCAACCATACAGCCAGTCCATTGGGGGCGGTTCGAATCCAGAACCAGTTGCTAGTAACATCGAACCAGTACTCAAGATCTAAGACGTTCAAATAATTTTGGAAAGAATTTAATTCTTACTCTACTATGAATGGGTATAATTTAAAGTTCTTTATAACCTCCTCAGGGTATATAATCGTTTGCGATATTTTAGTTTACGTACAATATTATGGACATAAAAATTCTAGCTCTAGGCAAAACCAAATTATAATCACTATCTTTTACGATTTATTCGAAGAATGTCTTTTGCATTGCATTTTTATTTTTGCGATTTACTATTTACTGTTTGTTACCATAAGCATGGAGAAATTTTTGACAAAGAATGTTTGATGTTTAACAGTATTTGCGATAAACCATTTTATATAACTGACACGAAAGCGTTTGACAGTTATATATAATATGTTTTCTCTTAAAGTGCAATAACAAAAGCAGAGTTAAGAAATTTAAAAATGAAAAATAAACGATAACAATTGTGTCATTTCAAAATGCTCAAGTTTAAAGTAATGCCAAAAGACAGATGTTTATAGTACTTAACCAGTTGTTAAGCGTTTCGGAATGCCAAAGACAATAGTTAAGATGTTTGTTCATGACAAAGGTAAGATTTTTACCAGACTGAACAAAAGGATTTCTGCTTTTGAACAAATAACGAGAAAAATGATTTCCAAGGTAATGGTAAAATTTATTATTGAAGTTGAAATTACCAAGAAAAGAATCTAATTCATTTAAATTACTGTAAATTCATTTAATTACTGTATATTTACGACTGTAAATTTAGAATTAAAAGTAAACAATCCGATACAACTTTTTTAAATCTTGTGAAATATATTTACAATTTCATTGCGAAATATTTTATGC